ATGATGCTTGTCATATACTGTAAATGGACTCTTCACAACCCCGAACCCCTCTCCCACAAAAATAAATGATTGTGTTTAATATTGTGTTTGTCGAGAAAGTGGAGGGAAAAAATCAACAACTTGAGTCATTAATAAATACTTTATCATATTGCACCTCACTTGAAGCACTGTCACCTAGTCTTGTTTGTAAATAGGATCCTTATTTTGTAATTTAAAATGTAACTAGGGGTCTTAATCAAAAGCCTTTTAATGGTTTCTAGTAGGCCCCTAGCCCTAGATAATAAACATGTAAATATAATAATCAAAATTTTTGTAATTAAATTGGGCGAATTAATTAAAAAAAAACAACAAAAAAACAAAACATATCCTGTAAATTCATTTAGATTGCTCTGAAGAAGTTGTGTTGTAAACAACGAAACGTTAGCTATTAAATTTTTGCTTTTATTATGTTTGGTTTCAAAGTTATTTGCTCGGCTCTGCTTTTTATCTTTAAATTAAGATTTCCGCTTGGTGCACCAATTGCAACATTCAATACAGTTTTCTATATCTCTTTGCATCACACTGACCATTGACCAATATCCAATTTTCAGGAAAAAACATGGAATATCGCATATTTAGAAAGACTTATTATATGAAGTGTGACGTTGAACGTTGTGTGACTGGATTTAAATATCAAACTAATCTCAAGGTGAGGAAAGTCCGACCAGTTCAGGAATTTTATTTACTATGGTCCCCATCGAGCAGGTGGTTTAACAGCTAATACATTTATTTCATGATATATTACTGAAGTATTTTCGTTTCAAGAGCAGCGTTAAGACTTGAGGACAGAACGGTATATATGTATAAGCTATTTACAAAATAAACTACAATTCACATAGTAGGTATAAAGACAATGTAAATCTATATGCACAATGTGGGGAAAAGGTTCTAATGCAATAAAGTTTGCACGATACATGTATATGTGCAACATGGCTGCATTACAATATTTTTTACGAAAATCAGTGAAGTGCTCACACCACCTCTTGAAATTCAAAACATCTGCCGTCCGTTGGACGTCTAAAATTCAAATTCGTTCAAGTCACACGACCAAAACTGTTCATCAAAATTGTCACATGACTTTGCTGTTTTGAATTTACTAATTATAGTACACGGTACAGGGCCCCCTGGATAGGGATTCGACCATCTGAAAAGTACAAGCTTAACTACGCTTAACCATGCATAACCTACAATTAAGCTGTCACATACAACGAAGTTAGTAGGCAAATATTGTTTCGACGTTTTGGCTGCTTTTGATAGCCTGGTCTATAATTACTTACGTGTGCGTGTGTGTGTGTGTATGTATGTGTATTTATATATCTATCAACTTCGTTCATACATTTATATACATTAATATCTATGTTATTGTTATAGATTGTAATGACTTATTTAGTTATTTACTCATGTATTCTATGTCCCAATATTGGGACTTTGTTTGAATAAATTATTTTTTGAAATCAAGTGTATATGAATAAAGACACTGGACTGAAAATCTATAATTTTACTCTTACAACCATCGATAAAATATATAGTTTTCTAAAGATGGACGGAATTTTATGATAAACAGCATGTGGCATGCACCATGCAGCGCGTGAGGGGGAAACCCCTCTGGTTCTTAAATCTTTATGCAGAGACCTTAAGGGCTTAAGCCTGCACATATATGCTTGCGCTATGCCTGCGCTATCACTGCACAGTAGAAGACGGTATTTCGCATTCGAGGTAATGCCATGATCTTAACAAATGTGTATGTGCGAGAACTGGAGAGTTGAAAGGCAATATCAACTGCACACTCCTGACAACTGTTACCAGACACCATCTGCTCGGCATCCACAAGATCTCTGGGTTTTTTTTACATTTCCCATGTACATTACATTACATAATAAATATTTGGGCTAGAGACCTACTAGAAACCTTTGCATGCTTTTGTATCTAGGCCACTAGTCATGTTCCTATTTAGATTACTTTATTATTTACGGTAATTATTAAATGGAGATAATCATGCAGAAGAAAAGTTTTATATACAAGATATTTACAAATTCGAGGTATGAAGGGTAAATACTGTAGTGTTCACAATATTTAGATTTTTATGTAGTATTATTTTGTACAATATATGATTTCATTTTCATTTTCATTTCTCTCTGCTTTTGAGATTTTCATTTCTCTCTACTTTTGAGTGACAAAGCGTACTTGAGACGGTATTTGTCTAGTTTATCCTCTTCCATTTCTACAACTTCCATTTCTACTACAGATACAACATTTCCAACATCGTGAGCGTAAAAGTATCGACCACCATCATGTATCACAACTGCCCAATGGTTGAGAGTAGTGGAACCATAAAAATCTGCCTTGTCCATGTCTATTTGCCCAATGCACCTTAATTGCTATGTAACCCTTCTGATCCGTGTCGACATTCAATCACAAAAGCACTCGCCATACAATAATAATTATATTTAAATAAAAAGCTATGAATATCAAAGAAAAACAACGTCAATATTGACATATTGTAATAACTATACAATTGCGGTTCACATCAGCAGCTGCTTCGATCTACTGAAAACGAATGTTCTTAGAAAAACAATGTTCGAAGACTACGTTTTCCACGTTGCTGTCTCTGTGAGTTATATTTGCCTATTTGTTGTCCTCACTTTCTACAAGTATGATGTGATATTCAGGACAGGAGTTATTTTGGTGGCAGCCATTGGCTTTTTCTTTCCTATATTCTATGGGCTTCCCTACTTCATTATTGCATGGAGAGTGTCTGTGGGATTGAATGTCGCCACGGATCAGAAGCTTTACATAGCAAGGTGCATTCAGCAAAAAGACATGGACATGGACAAGGCAGATTTTCTTGGTTTCACTATTTTCAACCAATGGGCAGTTGTGATACGCGATGGTGATCGATACTTCTGCACTCAGGTTGTTGGAAATGTTATATCTGGTGAAGGAATAAAGATTCCGTTTAGAGAAATGAAAAAGGCTCAACTAGACAAATACCGTCTCAATCCTGTCGGCTTTGTCACTCAAAATCAGAGGGAAACGAAAACCAGAGATCTTGTGGATGCCGAGCCGATGGTGTCTGGTAATAGTTCTCAGGAGTATGCAGTAGATATTGCCTTTCACCTCTCCAGTTCTCCCACATACACATTTGTGAAGATCATGGCATTACCTCGAATGCGAAACGCCGTCTTCTACTGTACAGTGATATTATCAATTGTGTTTATAATGCTTGACCACCCTTTTGCTCGTCTGTTGAACCCGCTGTTCTTAACCAACCTGTTTGCTGCTTGGGAGCTGTCTCGTATTGGCATCCATAACCAAACACAGGAAGTTCATCTCCGGTATATAGTCTCAGTTATTCGGGCATACATTATATATCCAAACAGGGGGAACTTTTTTATGCTCTTGTTAATTTGTGTGTCTTTTGCGTACATTTATCAACGATTGGGCTTTGAAGGGTGCATTGTAATAGCCAGTTTATTGTTTGCGCTTGTCCTGGTGCTATTGAGGTGAACACTGTTCTATGAAACTTTCAAAAATAGACATGTACGACATATATAGCATCTTTGCTACTGATCATATTGCATAAATAGAATAAAGTAATGCCTACATGTTCATGTACATTTATAAAATATTATACATACAGTTGACTGAAAATCTTAAAATTATCACAGTTCAATAACTTAGAAGGGGGATCAAATAAAGTATCTCGCAGACCCGAAGCACTGTCTTAAGGTGGCTCGACATAGTTATCACAAAAACCCTGCTCAAGAATCGCGGACAAAAACCTTGCTCAAGAATCGCGAACAAAACCGGGCGACCATTTTTACGCGCAGGTCGCGAAAACTGATTAACAAAATGAAAGAATTAACTTCCAAAATGACCTGACGTGAGCAGCTGCTCGCGTCATATCACGGCAATTGCTAGATAGTATACTTCAAAATAAGTTTCCGTTTTTATATCAATCTTTAAAATAAGTTAGGGTTATAGGTTAGGGTTAGGATTAATATTAGGGTTCAATTTTGCGTTAAGATAGTTTTTTCTACGCTATAAAAACGGAAACCTTATTTTGAAGTATACAATCCGAGCAATCACGCCATTGCGTGTGTTCTATAGCGTTTTATCGAAGAGTACAACGTTTTCGCATATTCCAAAAAAATGGCACTACAGAATTTCTTTATACTAAAACTAATATTATTTGAAAGTAGAGATATCAAAATATGTAAAGACCCCAATATCTGCGGAATAAATCCTAAAACTGCGTAGTTTGAACATGTCAAAGTGTTGTATTAAACCATTATTTTGTAAATATATATACCATATATTAATTTTAATATATGGTATATATTAAAATTTTTTAATATATACCATAAAATTCTGAATTTTTTGCGAACTACTATATTTCAAATAGTGAAGTTCATAGACATAATACAAGAAATTCTATGAAACTTCATAAGCCTTATCAAAGAACAAACTATGTTAAACATTCACTCTCTAACAAGGGAGTTGATATCTGGAATAATGTTGACCCAAACTTTAAAAATATAGCATCTTACTATATATTCAAGAAAAAATCGAAAAAATACTACATACTGAATAATTGAAAAACTACTACCAAAACAACATCTGCAATATCAAATTTTATACGAATTAATAATAATACACTTTTGTGATCCTAACATTTTATTTACTGTAGCACTATATGTAAATACTTTATCATATTGCACCTCACTTGAAGCACTGTAACCTAGTCTTGTTTGTAAATAGGATCCTTATAAAATTAATTTGTCCAGCTGAACGAAATATGCTTTGCGAAATGTACAATTTTGACTGGCACGCAGCTCGAGTATAGGTTTTATATTTTTACAAATTGTTCTTTGTACTAATAGTAAAGACTAAAGACAAATTCCATTGGGCAGATTAACAGTGGGTTGCGAGCATAATCTGTCAAAATGACTAT